CATCTCTTTGTTTACAACACAATAGTTGTGTCGTTGATTGTTTTTGTTTCTTCATAATCATCCTTAGACCTATTTGTTTTGATATTCTTGACTTAATGGCTTAAATAATGGGTCCAATCAAGTCGTTAAGATGGAGAGTGTGCAGGAAGTTTGACTTTACCACCACATTTTGTGGCTCTTTCTGTAGCCCTTTCCCTGGCACTAATTTTACATGTCACCTCTCAATCAGTTTTCAAAGGGTTCATGCTCCTCTCTTGCACTAAGAATTGTCACTTCAGACAAGCGCTATTAAAGACTTCATTCATCTGACTTAATGTTAGTCTTCCTTATTGTCTTATTTAGCTATCCTTCCATTACAGGAACAGGCCACTGATAATCAACACTTAAGGCCAAATTTGATATATTAACATCCTTACTCATCTTTTTGCCTTAAAGAAATAAAACAAACCTGATCCTATGGTTACCAGTCATTTGGTTAGCCCCTAGCCGGTGAGCCCCCAACCACAAGTCGATTAGCCCCTTACTCATGCTTAAGGTTACTGTAGAACTTCAGGGGTGCCTACGGAAAATGCTTTCTTTACACAGTGCTTTAAAGAGATAAGACCCCCTAATAACTTGACGTTTTACAACGTTTTTAGCTCGTCAGGGTTCTTCAGTTTGTTTTTTCAAGTTTAAGAGATATTATAGTATTAATTTCAATGTGTCGGAGCTCCAGAAATATTACCTTTTCGTTTCAATAGCAAAACTCAAAGACAGATGTTTCTGTAACTTCACGGCCGCCATGTTGTTGCCCTTCCGAGGGGCACCAACATGGCGTCTCCACAGTTTTCCGAATTCTCTTCCTCCTCCCCCCTTCCCTCCCCTTTATACGCCTGCTACGCAGGCTAAGAGCCTGTTAGATTTAATTCATGTCATTAGATTTTTTTCATGTTTCTGTGCTTTGTTTGACCGGTTTATATAGCTGTTAAAGCTCAATTTTATATCTGCTTCCGCTTTATTATTCTTTTCTTAGATATTTTTGCATGGTAATAAGTTAAAAACTAAAAATAAAAGTTAACTAAAGATAAAAATGAATCCAAACATAACTTGCAAATCTTTTCGTGTAACACTTGTACGCTGTAATTAATTTGCTTGACATCGTTCCCATTTAATCACTGATAAGTTAAGAAATTGTTTTGTATAATCATCTTGGGATCAACCCATGATTTTAAAGTGGCTTCCTCTTTCGATAGTGTTTGACGTTTTAAGTTGTACTGAAAAGATGTTTAAGTTACCAAGAAAGGGTTGTTTCATTAAAGAAACCAACAAAAGGTAGAGCAATTGTATTGTAATTGAAAGCCTCGTGTCTTGGGTCTTTTAAATTGTTCCTATTCATGCTTCTTATTTTCATATTACTTCACGTCCTCTTTCA